GAGAAGGCCATGCCCACATAGAAGTCTCATTGGCTATCTCCAGATTGACAGCCTAGACTCCACCCCCACACTCTTAATCCTTAAATTGACTCCAGATTAGGTAGGTGACTACCACATAGGGTAATCTCTGCTTGAATAGCTGTCTTTAGTAGAATCTCCATCATCTCTAGGGGAGAAATAAACATCTCTGCGGGAGGGCAGGGGTTCCCTTCATGGTGAGCCTCTAACTATCTCTTCTAAGTGATTCAGGAGTAAGAACTTCCTACCATCCCACTGCTGCTGTGCACTGGTCCTGAAGGAGCTGACTTTTAGGAGGTAGCCCTCCACTGTGTGGTGGAAATCCTTTTAGTGGAGTGGTCCTCTGGAAGAACTCATGTTGAAATGCATGGAATAACCGCCATCATCCATATGCCCCCCATGTGAAGGGGGTCCACTGGTTCCTCCACTGCCTCCTCTTCCACCTCAAAGCCTTCCTGGAGGGCTCTGTTTCTTGGAGGTGGAGAGGGGTCCACGTCTACACTTTCGAATGTTGTTTAAGTGGCTTGTTCTGTTCTACCTAGCTGGCTTTTCCATGTAAAGACTTTCCATTCACATCTCGGGCTGCATCTGAAGCATCTGCCGGGCTTTCATAGATGACAAAAGCAAATCCTTTCATCAGGAGTACTTCCACGATTCACCTCCATATTTGCCAAACATTGCTTCACGGGGTTTCTCATTTCTTTCTGTGTTGAGCCCTCTCACGAAGAGCTTCCCTGCCAGAGATCTCGGCTTCCACCAGCGACGACTTTAACCACGTGACCCAAAGGCAGGCAATTCTTGGGCCTCAGTGACTCAGAGGGTGAGCTACTGGGTGGGAGAAGAGGGAGGGAAGCCGCTAGTCGTACCTGGCTGGCGCCAAGAGGACAAGGACGAACAAAGGAGACAGTAAGCTTTATATTGCCTTGGAACGGGGCTGAAGGCCCATTCTGTAAATCTTCACCAGGACAGACGGCCTCATCTTTCTCCTCAGGCGGGCTGATAGTTTTGAACCACAGACCTTGCAGTTAGCAGCCCAGTACTTGGGCCCTAAAGCTCTGCCTGCCACTTCCACCCGCTCCTCAGTCTGTGATCCAATTAGAATGAACTATTTTATCTAGGTGACTTAAGGCACCCGTCCCCTTGAACCCCTCCCCTACTTGCATGCGGGAGGTCCCTCCTCTGTTCTACAGAAGGTCCACTGCTTCTTCAGTTACAGCATTTTCACGGGGTTGTAACTGCCAGGTTCTCTTTCTTTCCTTTTTAAATCATTTTAACCAGGTTATTTTTCAATCTCTCCATCAAACATGATGTTTCTGCAGCGCAGGGACCACAACTTGGTCAGGTTGAGTGCCAGGTTCTCCCGGATGGACCCGGATACTCAGCGCCCGCAAGCATGCCCGGACCAAGCGTGCGCGCTGCCCAGAGCTTCCCCCGCGCGCATGCGCGCAGGGGCGGGGCGACGAGCAGTAACCACGCCCCCTGCGCGCGACCCCGGCTAAGAGGGGTCCTTTGCCCCTGGCGCTCCCCTCCCCCACCTTCTCTGCGCTTGCGCAGACGGCACAACCGTTGCCGGGCGCCTGGGCCCTGAGGTGGGATCGTCTGCCGCGGACACCCGCCCCCCGGTTTCAGTCCTGAGGTACCCGGCCCGCTGGGCCCAGGACGTTCCAGTCGCATGGCGGAGTGGTTCGGACGACGCCCATGAAGTCCTTAGTCCTTCTAGTCGCGCTGTTGCTATGGCCTTCGTCCGTGCCGGCATTTCCGAGTGAGTGACTGCCCCGAGGGGGCGGCGGCCCAGGCGACGCACCCGGGGGACCTTCCCTCCAGGCTCTGGGGCCGCCGGAAGCCTGGCCCTTCCGTTTCCCACGGATTCCCTGATCCGCCCACGCCCCACTGCCCAGGGCCCCGGCCTACCTGCGCTCAGGTGTGCCTTCCTTCTCCCACTTGGCACCTTCTCCACCGCGGCCTGCACTCGCTGCCGCCAACCTGCGAGCGCAGGGGCGGGTCATTGACGCCAGACGTGACTTAGGGGTGCGTCGTCGGGGCAGATGGGGCTCGCGGACACGTCTCCAAGGTGTTCATCCCATCTAATCGCGGGCCCAAGTTTTCGTATGGCTGGCACACTTTCAAACGTGTTCCGTAGAGACGTGAAAAAGTAAGGCACCCGCAGTCCGTTGTTCATCAATAAAGTTTTATTGGAACATAGCTCCCTGCTTCCGGTATTGCCCGTGGCTGCTTCCTGTGCTACTAGCGCAGGGTGAATAAAGTGGTTGGCAC